TGCAAAAAGTCTGGTGACTGTTACAAGAATGAACCCTATTTCATTTTTATTTCTTTTTTCATGTCTAACATTGGTTTATTTACCTTTTTATGGTATCTCTTGCCCATGCAAGGTTTCAAGTTTTGAATATTTGGACACATCTGACAGTTCTTTTATGGCTTTTGGTTTAAAAGGTGTCAATTTGGGATCTTTGACATGATTGTTGATTTAAAACTTCCTGTTTCTTTTTCTAGAATTAGAAAATATAATTAGTATGGCTATTGGCAAGTAGTCCTGATTTCCTTTGTGTAACTAATCGACATGGAAATTTTAGTATTCTTATCATCATTACCCCTCAATTTCTAACTTTCTTTATCTATGAAAATGAGTATTACAGTCATGGTTACAGATGCTGTTGAATGGTGCATACATAAGACCTGCGTTCAGATAGTCTAGCTTATGATTTGGAGATGGGCTGAACTCTCATTTGTTGAGCAGACTTGTTTCACTGTAGGGAAAAATTATTATTAAAATACTAATTTAAATGCTGCTTTTACTGAGTTTAAACTTAATATTTTCAAAACTTTTTAGTGAAAATACTTGACATGTTTAATAATTAGGTGAGTTGATCTCATCTTCTTATCAGGAGTGGGCTACTTTCCCTGTTCTCCTTGTTATATATTGCTCCACCCTCCAAATAATCATTTGTATTATTCTAATGCAGCAAAGGCAAGCTTTTATTATTATTCTAAACTGCAGCAAATTAAATGATGCTTTCTATTCATAGCTTTACCCTAGTGATACATATAGAAACACATGCAGCCTTTCTTAAAATGTATTCATTGAGCACAGATACTGATTTTCATGAACTATTTGTAGTTTGGGCTTAAAAGGACCCAAGAGTATAATGCAGCAGGAAAGCAAAATCAGAGAGCTAAGGAAAACAAGCATGAAAGAAGTTACGACTAGTGAGATTTTCTGTTTTCCTCTCTTATAATTGCAGTCTGGGTTGTTTACTGCCTTTGGTTGGAGACCACTGTCCACTGTTAAGATTTTATAGCGGTTGCCTTTGAAAATCTAATAAGGAGCAGGGTATATTAACATCAGATATTTGCACAAAATTATATTACTGTTTATTGTGGTAATATAATCACATCATATTAAATAAAATACACGTGGTTAGGTGTACTTCACCGTCATGTTGGTTAGGATCATCTCTGTGGGTGGCAGGTGAGGGTAATTGTGACAGCATTATTTCCTTTCAGAAAATGAGGCTTAGAGAAAGCCATATTTGTGTAAGATCACCCAAAGTTGTCTGCCAGTATGGAAGCTCCATGTCGTGCTCAGAGACCCTGTTTCCAGGCTCCTGTGATGCTTGCAGAGCTGGCGTTTCCTTTCTAAAAGACCCTTCAGGGCTCGGACACCCTGCTTTTTGTGCCAGTAAGTGGACCCTCCTGGGATCAGGGGTCTGCCTGTGTGAGAAAAGCCAAACCTCCCTCCTCTATCCAGGTACCTTTCTCTCTTCTTATGCCCAAATGCCACGTGACCATGTTTCCTGTGTCTCTTCTTTATCCTATTCACCCCTTTAGCACCAGCAACCACCAGAATTGCCCTTTGCTCTCTAGTCACAGACATTCACTACCTTTAAATGGTGTATAAAGTCCATCTAAGACCTCACTTTGCTGAACACTTCCTGCTTTGTTAGCAATTAGAAAATGACCACAGCCCCTGCCCTGGCCAGGCACTGCCTATTCTGAAGGGCGATGAGAATTTAAAACTGAGACTTACCAAGTAACTCACAGGTACCCAGTTTGGAGAGGAGGGCTGGGTGTTTTGGGGCCAGCAGAGCGCTGGGCTCTAGCCTCTTCTCCAGCCGCAAGATGAAGCCTGGGATCACCGTGGTGCTCCCTGCCATGGTGGTGGGAACACCAGGGTCCTCAGAGGCTAGTGCTGCCTAGCTGCCTGCACTGTGCCCTCGCTGGGCAATGTCAGGGCTCACCTCTGGTGTTAGTAACAGGAGGCAGGAATTGAATGCTTAACCTCTAGCAACCAAACTGGCAAGCCTTCCCACAGAGTCTGAAAAAGAGGAGTATTTTGAACACAGATTTCTTAAAACAGCTGTTGCACTGGCAGGGCAGATGGAGCCAGGGTAGTGTTCAGAACCAAAATAGCAACAGTATCACAAATTACAGGTGCTTCCAAACAGGCTTGCCTGCACTTTGTGAGGAGAAGCCGCTTCCCCCACCGGAGGGTGCAGGATGAACCAGAGACAGCTGCCTCAGCATTCCACACACTGATGGCGACTGTCAGTTATCTAGCACACCACCCCGAAGCATAGTGGCTTACAGTAATCACCTCCCCCCCGCAGTAGTGTTAAGGGTTAGCTGAGCTTACCAGAGGGCTTCTGGTGGTCAGGCTTAGAGGTGTCTCCTTGAGGAGGCATTCAGATGAGAGCACAGCTGTGGTTGGTAACATTCAAGATGCCTTATCCTCAGGTCTTAGTGATCTGGGAGTCTGCTCCAGGCCAGATCCAACCCACGGTTCATTCACAGATCCAACCACCACAGGCTAAGAATAGTTTTTACATTTTTAAACAGTTGGAAAACCAAAAGAAAAACCATCTCATGACATGTGAAAATTACATGAAATTCAGATTCCGACATCTGTAAGATTTCACTGACACAGAGCACCCCTGGCCCCTCACATAGTTTATGGCGGTTTTGCACTGTGGTGGCAGAGTTGAGGAGTTACACAGACATGAAGGTCACATGGCCTGCAAAGCTGAAAATTTTTACTGTCTGGCCCTGGATAGAAAGTCTTTTGACCCCTACTGCTAAGCGTCTCTCTACAGACAACTTCATTAACCATCAGTGGGTTATTTTGAGAATGTTCAGTATTTTTTCTTTCTAAATGATGAGGCCGGAGAGAATCCAGCCTGTCACTTGCAGGCATTATCTCCAAATAACATACTGCATGCAGGTGTGAGTAATTTGGGGCTTAAAACAACCATAATATAATTTTCATTATATTTACTCCATCTTATCATCTTTCAGATTACTGGAGTAAATCTGAGGCCACAGTTAACATTTTTATCAGATGTATGCAAATAATAGAACCATTTATGATGATCATGCAGAGATAAACATTCAGAACTGTTAGCTTCTTTATACTCCTTGTTGACTTGTTCTATGAGAATTCTTATGCTTCTTTACACAAATTCACATTCTGAAAATAAATGCCTAGAACAGAAATGATTTTAACAGTTTTAACTGTCAAAGCTGCCTTTCCTTGCTACTACTGTGCAGCTGAGTATTTGCAAACTAAATCATAAACATGCTTCTCTCATCCCCACCAGCTGCAGCATGGTTACCGGACATGCAGTTGGAAGCTTGCAATTATTATTTTGAGAAGAAATTAAATAATTGCTGATTTTAAAAAAGGAGAATCGGAGACAAATACCATTTCTGCCTTCATAATGGGAACCCTAAATGCCCTTCTAAACAAACAACAGCTGGAAAATGCTGAACACAGATAGATACAATCCTTGCCTTTAAAAAGTTCCCATCCTTGTAATGATGGATGGACAAGAAGACAGTATGGTATAGGGATTGATAGTTGATCGTTGATGAGCACAAATTACGATGGGGGCACAGAGATTGGGCCCCTAAGCTGGTCTAGAAATGTCTGGGAGCCTTGCTAATGGGAACCAACGGGAAGGAAGGCAAGGTGGATCAGCCCAGAAACCTTCCAGGGTACCCACCCAGGCCTGGTGGAGACCTCATTGCTAGGCCCTCCAGCAGCCTGTCCCAGCTGATAGCATACTGACCTTTATCAGTTTACTTGTTCATCTTCCTCCACAGACTTGGCAGTTTCTTTAAGGCAGAAACTGCCATCTGTCATTGTTCTCTACAGTGCCTGCCTGGTAGTAGCTGATGCTCAAGAATCATCTAATAAGTGAATATGTGGAAGTTTCCAGGCTAATGAAAATATTCTGTCTCTTAGATAGGCTAATGTTTAAAGAAAATATTTTATGTCTATACAGTGGTATATTTAAAAGTATGTACTAGTTTGTGGTTGAAGCGCCAATACCAAATTTTGGATGCAAGAATAGGGTCAGGAACCATACGAGATGCAAAGATAAGCAAGACACAATCACTGCTCTTCATAAACTTACAGCTTAAGTAAGATGAGATGGTTGGATGGCATCACTGACTCGATGGACATGAGTGTGAGCAAGCTCCGGGAGTTGGTGATAGACAGGGATGCCTGGTGTGCTGCAGTTAATGGGGTCACAAAGAGTTGGACACAACTGAGTGACTGAACTGACTGAACCCTCCTCTATATGGAACCAGAATAGCTTGTCTTTCATCTGTTTATATTTTGGAATTCCACAAAATATTTCTTTTGAATAAAGGGCTCCATTTAAAAAAATTAATGTTAATAAAAGACCAAGTTTTCTCAAAATATTTACATATTTTACCCCCCCTCCCCATTTAGGCTGGAAGGAAATTTAATGGAGAGAATAGAAAATTTACATTTTTAGATATTTTCATATTCCTCCTGGATTCCATCTTTGTTTTTCCCGAGTTGCCTTTTAACACTTTTCTAACAGGTACTATATAGCAACCCCCCAATGTAGATATTTACAGTAATAAAATTGTTCCCATATACTGTAATATCACTTAATATTTGCTAATATACAGGAAAAAGCTTCTATGCATATCCTTTCTAAAATTACTGCAAAGTATCTTCAAGGTTCTGTATTTTTTTCTACTTTATATACAGTAGTGTGTATATATGTTAATCCCAACCTCCTAATTTATCCCTCCCCCTCCAAGGTTCTATATTTAATGCCAGTTATTCGAAGATGTTCAATTCAAAACTGTTACCTAATTTCTCTATAGGATGTTGGATTTCAAAAAAATCACATTTTCAAAACAGGATTGTATAAGATCATCTTAAGGACCCATATGCAACAAATCCTTCTATGAGGTTTGCAGGGAATAATGAGCCAAAAGACATTTAGGTACAGTATTCTTTATTATAAACAATCAGATAACAGTGTAAGTGTGCATTTGAAGGATAACTGAGGCATAGCTATAATAAAAAATGACTTAAATAGAAATAGTTTCTTTTTTGTTAGTTTGTTTTACATTAATTTGAACTTAACATACACCAAGATCATGTAATTTGTCATATAGTTCGGCCATTAAATCCTTAACAGGAGAAGACAAAATTTGGAATGCATGTTATATTTTGCTTCATTTGTTGACTATGTATATCAAATATTCAGGACATAATCAAAGTTAAGCCAGTGCTTGAAGTCTAACAAGCAATACCTAAAAAATATTTTTGTTGCTGTGACAGGGTATTGACTTCCTAAGAAAACAATGAAAAGGAGATTCTAAATGCTAGGTAGTTGTCCAACTTTTTCTGATTTAAACTGAGTGTAAAAAAAATAACATAAAGTAAATGTATTGAGAATTGACATCTTAATAGTTCCAAAGCACTGGTAGGTATTAAAATATCACCTAACTAAAAATTTTTACATCTCAAATTTTTAACAGGAGAAAAAACAAAACCCAGACTTGAACAGCACTATAAATGCTCTGAGTCTTGTGAGCAGGCCAGATACTGTTCTCTGTTGCACGACCCTTGTCTATAGCAACCTTAAACATGTTTGGCAATTGCTGATGCAATTTATGGCTTAGCATGTCCACTTTGCTCACAGTCCTATAAAAGAATGTGAAGACATTGTTTGGACTGTCTGCCTCAAGGATTGAATGCTAAATAAGCACATTTAGAAGTCAGAAATCAAATTCTGCCTTACAACTTTTAACAGTTCTTACCAGAAAAAAATTTAAAACACTGATCTAAAATGTGACTATGTTACAATGACTTAAGGGCTAACTTCCCATCACTTCTAAATTCTCTGAATTTCACAGTATCTTAATAAAGGCTTTTGGTGAGACAGACCTGGCCTGGTAGTGATGCATACGTACCACTTTAATCATTTATTTTTTGAAGATAGAATTCCAATTCACTGGAATATTCTGTCCTGGTTTCCCAAAGCTGCGTGGAAAGCCAGTGTATTTTTTCATGTCATTTATAAGCAACTAGTACCGATTGAATCTGTAAAGGTGTAAGGTTACCAGAGGAGGAGTCTGACCACTGATGGATAAAGCGATGTTTGATCCCTGGAGCCCAAGCCACGTGTACCTCATGCTGTTTTGTGCAGTAGTACTCATTTGAGGAAGACTTCGCCATACTAATGCCTTTTCCAAGGAAAGGAGACATAGGGAATTACTGGAAAATAGGGAAGCAAGAGGAGAAAAATCCAACTTTGAGACAAAGAAGAAAAGCCTCATTTATCTAAGGATGTCTTCATTCATGACTTGATTGCTCAGAAGAGATGGGAAATCAGTTTCAAAATAGAGATAATTAGGAAATCAATTATATTTTCTTCAAGCATAAAAAAGAGCACATGTTTTGTTTTAATAGTTCTTGAAACATGAAGATGATTCTACAGATTTCCGTGTAGACTCTCAGCTCCAGAGGGCTGGGACAATTTCTTGTGTACATTGACTCCACAGTACCTAACACTGTGCCGGGTACATACATAGTTGGTGAACCAATAAACTACAGAGTTCTCTAAACACTAAATGGACCACCTAGCTTTAATGTAAAATGTGATATTTTCTATTGTATATATGAAAGCTTCTCCTAGGTAACACTAGTCATTACAACAGGTGACGGCAGTAGCTCACGCATACATTGTTTTCATATGATCATTCCTACCTTGATTACAATTTAATGAGGAACAGCTACTATACACTAATGCTAGAAAGAGTTGAGACAGAATTTATAAATGAAGAAACCTCCTGGATCACTGAAGTACCGTCTGTTAACAAGCATAATTACCTTTTTAAATTACACATTTTAAAGAGGGTGTGAAATAATTTTCCAAGCAATGCAGTGTTCAGTGGGTGGGAATTATATATATATATATATATATATGAAAGTACCTAGAAATTTGGTAAACGGCCCTCTCTTTATCATCCAAGGGTAAATAACAGGTTTTGGTATTGTGTATACATTTTTAAAAAATGTCCTGTTATTCAGGACCACTGTTCCTCAGAAATGATAGGGATTATGGAATTACTATCTTATTTGGGAAGTTATTTCCAGGTATGAGGCTTTAGTTTTATAAGAGGCTACCACCTATGACCAGCAGGTCACTTAATCGGTAGAGACACTAAGTTAAATAACTCAAATTTGATCGCAGCAATGTGTCTGGATTTTTCAAAGGCTTCAGTGAACATTGTCTGCGTCATCTGTGAAGAGTTAGTATTTACCAACGTGTGAGGAACATGTGGCAAAACGTGCCCTCGCCTAGAGACTGTTAACGTGGGAATGTGAGAAGGAATAAGTAAACACAGGGTGTTTTTATCCGCTGCTCTTATTTTACTGCTGCTTCCACACACACACAGGACTTAACCACAAGGACAGCGAGCATGCCGTGCAGACTCGGATCTGCAGAGCTGCCTGCCGTGAATCACCAGAACAGGAACCTGATTTCCTACGTGGAAGGCAGGCATCTCTGTGGGTGATGCATGGACTAAGAAAGTGCTGGTCTTATTTTGCAGTTGGGAGATATAGCTCTTTTTATGCTGTTTTCATATTTATAATATCTTCCCATATTAGAGTCATTTATTTTTTTTGTACAGTGGATAAGATAATGAGGCAACCTGGCTCTCAGCTTCACAGTTTCTTTCTCTTCCGATCACAGTTTTAATTTGTTTTAAAAGGTACCATTCATATCAGCACAACAGTCTACCTACAGGTATTTCAACTTCAGAAATAAAGCTTATATGACTTGTCTTACATAACTGATTTTACAAGCTTGATTTTCTTTTTTTGTCAGCACTCGAAGTGAAGTTATTTAAATGTTACGGGTTTGATAGCTTTGTTTTGTCCAAAGTGTTATTTGCCCTAGTGCTGCCAGTACCTGATTTTTACTACGTAAACAGTTTTAGTATTTTTCTGGACTGGCCACACAACATGCCTTATGTGACACGGCAGACGAAAGCTGCCTTTGTCCTGCCAGCACCCTTCAAACACTGTCCACAGACTTGCCTCTCATTTCTTCTCTCCCACAAAAGAAGCTGCTGCTTATTAGAGCGTAGGTGCGAAAAACCTGCTTTTCTCATTGCGTTGTAGTGGCACCAGGTTAACTAGAAAGCACAAAACAAGATGGTGATACAAAATACGATGAGTATATATTAAATGTATTTACACGTGTACTTAGAAACTTCAGTTAGTCACAAATCTGAAATGATATAAGCCACTGCCTGCAACAGCATCTACCCTATAGAAATGTGCATTGAGACAGGACTGTTAAGACACTGAAGAAATTGGGTTGTGTGGGGAGCCCATCTGAGTCAGAACTTTGTCCAGCCACTGCAGCGGTCCATGAAGGTGGATCTCAATCCAGCAGGGCGTGCTTGTGACATCCTGGCGATGGTACTCAGCTCCCCAGCCCTGAAAAGCAAAAACGGAGCCACATGATTGTGCCAGACTTCCAGGCAGCCTCCAGGGGCACGAGACAGGCCAGCTGGACACAGCTCACCCACCAGGGCAGCTTTTGGGACCTGGGAACATGAACTCTGCATTCCTGCAAGTACAAGACAACCTTCTCATCAGCCAGGCACCCTAAGATGAGTCCCCATCCGAGGTTTCTTCCTGGGCTCGCAACTAAATCCACGGACCTAGAGAGGGCCTGGGTTCCAGCCACGTCAAAGACACTGGGAATTCATGCTGTCTTCCCAGGGAAGGGAGCTTGAACGCATGTTCACCCCCTTAATGCTGACGTCCGTGTTTTGCACAAAATAACAATGGCTGGATCTAAAAGTTGTTAGGTGAGAACTGAGGGTGCTCTGTGTTACTCAGGATTGATGAAGAAAGCTTGTTTCTCCTCTCCCATGCTGGCTCACTTCTGGCAATTTGCCATTGGTGAGACCATCCACAGGAGGGACCGCAAAAAATAAAGAAGTTTCATTAACATCCATGACCTCACATGGTTGCAATTTTTTATCATGGGGAGAACTTACCATTTCTTTTACATTGATCACCTATAGTTATATTTTCTAGGAATCTTTTTTTTTTAAGTCCCTGCAATATTAGTAACAGTTTATTTTGTGAATTATGTAGTTTTATGAATTTAAAGGTTGCATATGTGACAAGTACATCTAGTTGATGTTAGGAAAATCAGATTCCTATACAAGTTTGTAATACAGTGAAATAATTGTATCTGAGACATTGGCCATTTCATCCCAATTTTTAAAACAGGCCTAGAAAAAAGTACGTCAAATGGTTGTTTATTAACAGCAATTCATCGCCCTCCGCTGGCTCTAAAGCATCAGAATGTTTGAAAAGACTTTCAGGTATTTGTTAACTGCCTGTTAATTTTACAGTGTAAAAATGCTTTTAAAGCTTAACAGTAAACTTGAATAAAGGCTTCCCTGGTGGCTTAGATGGTAAAGAATCTGCCTGCAATGCAGGAGATCTGGGTTCGATCCCTAGGTCAGGAAGATCCCCTGGAGAAGGGAATGGTTACCCACTCCAGTATTCTTGCCTGGAGAATTCCATGGACAGAGGCACCTAGGGAGCTACACGCCAAGGGGTCACAAAGAGTCAGACATGACTGAAACGACTTAGCACGCATGCAAATTTGAATAAAACTGCTTTGTCACCATGAAAGAAATGGATTCAAGAAGTCATTTTCTAAACTGGAAACTATTCTTGATTCTCATTTTTAAAATAATTACTGATATTATAAATAAGAGTGTAGAAAAATGGGACACATTTTTCATGGTAATTTTACAGAATTAATAAATTTTACTTTGAAAAAATCTGTAACAAGCCATACTGATACCCCTTGAATAGATAGGTCACCATGGGAAAACTGTCACATATACTCAGTTTGACAAACAAGCTCAGATTTGGAAATATTAGAATTATTTGCAAGTGCTTTGTGAGGAATGAAATAGCAGATGATAAACTGAGGGCTTAGCTTCAACATACAAATCCAGTTTTTCCTTCCCACTAAGTAACTTTCTCCATTCTCCAACCTTCATGTCAACTTTAATAAGATCTAATTGAGAAATTCAACAAATATTCATAAACAGAACATCTACTACTGTCTCAGAATTAATCGTAAGCCCCATGTTTTTATCCCAATCTGTTTATACCTTTGTAAACAGCACTTAGTTCATACTCTCTTGTGTTAGACTCAGTTCTGTTTTGTAGTTTATTTATAAATATGATTGCCTCTGTTTGCCTGTCTGCTTTGTAAGAGTAAGGAGAGTGTCTTAATCGATTTCAGGTAAATTCACCATTTACTGAGTGACCACAGTACTCAGCAATTTGAGGGAAGGAAAAAAAAAATCTCTAGCATTAAGTCCTATGCAACCATCATAGTCACTTTATCTTCTTTATTTAAAGAAAAATCAGGTAACTGCCTTAACTTGGTTTTCCTCCAAAAGTAATATACTTAAGAATGTTCTTAAAATTGCTAAACAAGAGATGTCATACTCACGGAGGAGCTCTTCTAAAAAACAATTGAGAGTTTTCCTCCCAAAATGCTGACTGCTTGCCCTGGCTGTCCAACTGCCACATCAACCGAAGACTGTTTTAAAATATACATTTTTAAACTTACTTATTTTCTTATTTGGCTGTACTGGGTCTTAGTTGTGGCATGCAGGATATTTAGTTGACCCATGTGGGATCTAGTTCCCTAACCAGGGATCGAACGTGGGGCCCCTGCATTGAGAGCAGCAGGGAGTTTTAGCCACTGGACCGCTTCGGAAGTCCTGTGCTTCTGGTCTCTTATCTTAGAATCAGGAAGCGAGCACGCCTTACCTTGACAAAGCTCATCCTGATGGTGCACATCTTGGTCAGCTCATAGACGACTTCAAATCCGTGGTGCACAGACTGGGCGAGCAGCTGAGCGAACAGCTGGTTGTTGAAGATCTTGAGGCTGCAGCCGCTGGGGATCTTGCAGACAGTGGCTGGGTGGAAGCCGTGCTGATAGTTGCAGTTCCGGCTCTGCACGAAGATGCTGCTGTCACTCACGCACTCGGCATAGACCTCTCCCCCAACGTAGTACAGGTGCACGCCTGCGAGGCAGAAACAGTCTTCCGACACCAGCACTGAGTTCCACTTAGACTTACCACCCTTCCCATCTCATCCAACTCTGTCACCTAAAGAGATGTGACTATTAACTGTGAGGTTAATTTTAACATCACCAATCATTGATTAGTACCACGAGTGCCCCAGAGGTTGACCTGCTTTAATTATCATCTGTATTTTTTCCATGAGTGCATTTAAAAGTATACTGCAACTCAGGTTTGCATAGCCAAGAACAAAGAAGGAGGCTGTCATGTATTAATACTACTCCTGCCATGAAATTAAAAGATGCTTACTCCTTGGAAGGAAAGTTATCACCAACCTAGACAGCATATTAAGAAGCAGAGACATTACTTTGCCAACAAAGGTCCATCTAGTCAAGGCTATGGTTTTTCCAGTGGTCATATATGGATGTGAGAGTTGGACTATAAAGAAAGCTGAGCACTGAAGAACTGATGCTTTTGAACTGTGATGTTGGAGAAGACTCTTGAGAGTCCCTTGGACTGCAAGAAGATCCAACCAGTCCATCCTAAAGGATATCAGTCCTGGGTGTTCATTGGAAGGACTAATGTTGAAGTTGAAACTCCATTGGTTTGGCCACCTAATGCAAAGAACTGACTCATTGAAAAAGACCCTGATGCTGGGAAAGACTGAAGGCAGGAGAAGGGGATAACAGAGGATGAGATGGCTGAATGGTATCACTGACTCAATGGACGTGAGTTTGGGTAAACTCTGGGAGTTGGTGATGGACAGGGAGGCCTGGCGTGCTGCGGTTCATGGGGTCTCAAAGAGTCGGACAGGACTGAGTGACTGAATTGAACTGAACTGTCACTTTCATTCTTATGCTTGTTCATTCTAAAAGGAAGATCTCATACTATTAGAGGCAAAATAACAACATAATTCAGAAAACATCAAATAGACCTTCAGGGACATACAGAAATAAAGAACTGGACAGAGTGAGCACCACGGTAATGTTACTTACATGCGTATACTAAGTCCACTGCAGAGGACATGATAAATGGCGTTTACATTTTATTTTACCAACAATTATAAATCCATTTCTCTTAGTACCTCAAAGAGACCTATTCCATTTTAAAGCGTATCACCTACATTTACAGGTCATAGAAATAATGCCTATTTTTACCCACAGTGAAATTCATGCCACATTTTCAGATAAAATATAAAGACTCAATCAAAATGTAGTTTATGCTATTTTATCTCATGTTCTTAGAACTAAAAGGTGAAGAGGGTCTTGAGAATGTTGCTGCTCAAAGTACATTTTAGTTGATGCTTTTCCTCCAAATGTCTAGGTTTAAGACTCAACATAAATTTGTAACAAGGGACTGGAGTTAGATGAGATGAAGATGTTCTAGTCTAGGGAATATTAATACCAGAAGAATTGTTCCCTAACCTTTTAGCAGAAACAAAATCTCTATCTCCAGGTGTCAACATGGTTGTAAATGTAATCTCCATGCAGTGGCAAGGGGATTATAGAAATGATCTTGAATCTACTTATAGGGACAGATTTCGGTACTTTAAAAAAAGAAACAAAACAGTTTTAAATAATACAACTGAAAGACTTCCAGGGCTTCTCAGACCTGCATTTAGGAAACATGACCAACATGGCCACTCAGTTTCTTTTTAAGTAGCAATGGAGGCAATTTTTGCACTATTATGTAACTACTTCCTGCCAGCTTTATGGTTTCCTTTTCCCATCTCCTTTCCCTTAATACAATTTTAGAAAAGAATGGCTTTCAGGGTCATGTATTCAAACCACAGACTCCAACACAGTCTGAAGAAACTGATTCAGGGTCACAATGATAAAGCTCTTGATACTCAGGTCAAGGTTCCCCTCTCACTGCCTCAGTCAGACCAGGCCCCCTCCTCTGCTCAGCCTTCCTCTCCCTTTTCTGCCTCACCTCCATGATTCTCTCCCCTGAACACCCTGGAGTCTGATCCCCATGGCCCTGGCCCTGAGGATTGCCAGAAGGATGGTCCTAACTGGCTGGGACACAGTTACCTGGCTGGACCCACATGTGGGGGGTGTGTGGTATTAGATGCTCAGTCATGTCTGACTCTTTGCGACCCCATGGACTGTATGTAGCCCATCAGGCTTCTCTGTCCATGGGATTCTCCAGGCAAGAATATTGGAGTGGGTTGCCATGCCCTCCTCCAAGGGAATCTTTTGGACCCAGGGACTAAACAAGGCTCTCCTGCATTGCAGGCAGATTCTTTACCCATCTGAGCCACCTGGGAAGCCCAGACTTACTTGGCTGGACCCACATACTGGGAGGTAAGACAGGGGCAAATCCAAGCAGACTTCCTCTAAAAACTCCCAGGGGAAGGCCTGCTTCTGGGACGGCTGGAGAGCAGGTCATCAAACTGCCAGAGCATGAGGCTGCTAAGTGTTCAGTATGTCTTTGAGTTGAATGCCCTTCAAATACATAATCCTCCTGGAGCTTACTAAGGAGAAGAGATAAGATTTTTTTTGCTATCTGGCTCTGGTCTTTATTTAGGGGATGATTTTCAATCCTGTTAAAAGTCTTATCCACAACCACAGACATCCTGGCGGAGCACAGAAAGCAGAGAAGAGCCTGGATAGGGAGGTAGCAGTTCACCATCCTGAGTGAGAAGAAGGGGCAGAGCGGATGGGATGTGCCTGGGGAAGCCCTGAGCCAGCCAGGGTCACCAGAACAAGGAAGGATATTCAACCCCATGATGAAGAAGGCTAGAGACAGCGGCATCTAAAGAGTCAAGTAAGCAAGGGATTTTATTGGCATCCATCTGACAGGCCAGAAGCCTGGCTTTAAACCACGTCTGTGAGATGCTAAATTGCCACGGAGAACAGTAAGCGGTAAGGATAAACACCCAAAGAAGGTGCCGCCTGAGACAAGAGAGAAGTCAGGCAACGTGGTCCTCTGGAAGTTCCACCCACACCTGGGACTACATCTATTCCTGGGCTGCGTCTGCCTCTGTCAGAGTTTTCCACCTGTTGTGCCTGCACCCACCCCTTAGGAGACTAGAGAGTCTGGAGTCCTGGTGGTGGTGAATACTAAGGGCTCTTTGGGCTGGGTTGGGATCTGCTGAGTCAGACTGCAGCTTGTTCCCTCCTGGTATCTTCTGAAGCCTTGACTGACAGAGATGATGGAGGGGAGGCTCAGGGAACAGCAGGTTAATTAGGCTGGTGAGCGTGTTCCAATGGTCCTGGAGTCTAGTAACAGAGGGGGATGTCACAAGTGGAAGAAATATGCATGGATTCCTTCCAGAGTGGGATGGGGAGTGGTGGGGAAGGGATATCCCACCCCTGTGGAAATCTCATCGCCCCACCGCCAGCTCAGAGACATACTTAAATATACCGGAGAAAGAATATGAGTGCTGAAATTTGCTTTAAACTACTCTTCCCTGGTGGCTGGGATGGTAAAGTGTCTGCCTGCAATGCGGGAGACCCAGATTCAATCCCTGGGTCAGAAAGATCCCCTGGAGAAGGAAAACGCAACCCACTGCAGTACTCTTGCCTGGAAAATTCCATGGACGGAGGAGCCTGGTAGGCTACAGTCCATGTGGTCACAGAGAGTCGGACACAACTGAGTGACTTCACTTTCACTTTTTCACTTTCACTCTCATAAAAATAATGTGGAAAGGACTTCCCTGGTGGTCCAGTGGTAAAGAATCTGCCTGCTAGTGCAGGGAACCAGGGTTTGATCCCTAGTCTGAGAAGATCGCACATGCCCCTGGGCAACCAAGTCCCTGTGCCACAACTCCTGAGCCCATATGCTGCAACTCCTGAAGCTCTAGAGCTGGCGCCTGCAATAAAGAAAGCCACTCAATGAGAGGCCCGCGCATGGCCACTGGAGAGTGGCCTCTGCTTGCTGCAATTAGAGAAAGCCCACGCACAGCAACAAAGACGCAACGCAGACTGACAGAAAAACAGCAAAACTCTGTAAAGCAGTTATTCTTCAATAAAAAAATAAAAAGAAAAAACAAAATAATAAATTATAAAAATAATATAAAATAAAGATTTCCAAATCTCCAGCAGGGCTTTGGGCCAGAGGATGGAGGTGGGCCCGCCCAAGACTGTGACTGCAGCTGTGCACTGCACAAACCCAGGGCGTGCCTCAGACTCCCGAGATTTGTATGATTATTATATATATAAAAGACTCTTCCAGCAGGGGGCAGCAGCGGCTCCTCTCAATTCTCACAGAGCCGCCTCCGGGCTGGTACAAAGCCAGTCCCCTAAAGCTATTACTTGAAGACTTTAAGTATCTCTAAACAAACAGGATGAACAAGCAGATTTGGGCCCAAATGAACTGCACTACCAGGGGCTTCCCTAGTAGCTCAGCTGGTAAAGAATCCACTTGCAATGCGGGAGACCCCAGTTTGATACCTGGGTGGGGAAGATTCCGTGGAGAAGGGATAGGCTACCCACACCAGTATTCCTGGGCTTCCATGGTGACTCAGATGGTAAAGAATCCACCTGCAATTCCGAAGACCTGGGTTCAGTCCCTGGGTTGGGAAGATCCCCAGGAGGAGGAAATGGCAACCCACTCCAGTGTTCTTGCCTGGAGAATCCCATGGACAGAGGAGGCTGGCAGGCTACATACAGTCCATGGGGTCACAGAGAGTCAGACACGTCTGAGTGACGAAGCAGAGCGCTGAACACCCCACTGCGCGCAAACAATGTGATTCGGGCAAGGTGGGTGCCCCTTAGTACTACCTTCTCTCTCTCCTCTCTCACTACTACGCTTGACTGCAGCAACCCCAGCTCGCCTGGACGTACCGGGTCCCACCCCATCCTCACAGGAGCAGGAAACCCCACTAGAAGGAATGTTGAAAATACTGAGACGCAAAGAATAAAGATCAGCCACAAATCCTCAACCTAGAAATAATCAGGACTCACATTTGTCATATGCTTTCAGTCTTTCATGTGTACATTTTAAATAAAATTGGGATCATACTCTATAGGCTCTTTTATAACCTTTTTTCACGTATG